GGGCGCGCGGAGAGGTGGGCGGGTCGTGGGGGGGGGGGGGGGCGGTGGGGGGGGGTGTTTGCCCACGCATGCGTATGGGACATGGGGGGGGGGGGCACATTGCCTTCTGGGTACTGGCACACGAGCGCGAATGTGCAAGCGCACGCACAATTTTTGGCACAAGAGCCCAAAAAGGTTACCCACCATTGATATATAGGGTTTCCTGCTTCAGCAGGGGGTTAGACTAGAAGACCTCAAGGTCCCTCAAGAGAAGGACTAGGGGGTGACGTGATAGCAGTGTTTTCAATATTTGAGGGGCTGTTAAAAAGAAATGGGGTGTGTGTGTGTGTGTCAACCATTGTCGAAGGAAGGTCTTCTTAGAGACTGTTCTCCCATCTTAGGGGATGACATCGGATCGATTCAGCAAGAAATTACCACCCTCAGGGATTGTCGCCATCACAACGTTGTGATGTATTTTGGAAGCTACCTCAGGTAGAGAATTCCGTCCTCTGGAGTAAAACACAATGGGAACTTGGAAGCGGTAGACTTGCTTAAGCCCCCGGGCAGCCCCTATTCTCAACTTTATCAAATTATCGGGTAGCAAGTTGAGCACGGTATAATACACTAACCCGGGGCTCTTGGACCTCAGGGACCACCAAACTCAGAATTTTAAATCCTGCGGACCACTAATATGAATTTTGACTTGGCTTGCTGACGTTGGTGGGAAAGTCGGTCCCATATTCCAGAACTGCAATAGTCACAGGACTGGCCCTTTGGTCACCCCGGAGCAGCTGCTCCTCCACCTGGGTGCACCGGCCTGCCATGGACTGGAGGAGCTGCTCCGGGATGACCAAAAGGCCAGTCCTGTGACTACTCCAGCTCTGGAATAGGGGACCGACTTTCCCACCAACGTCAGCAAGCCACCCCGGGGCGAATTTCCCTTCCCCGCCGTTGGTCTTACCTTCCAGTTCCAGCTTGCATGGCTCTACTTAAGGTAAGGTTTGCGCTCAGCTGAAGGATGGGGGCCAGTGGGTGGGCGGGCTGTGTGGGCCTTGTGTTCCCGTGCAGCCTGGATTAATTGCTTTGGGGTCACATTTCTCTGCAGGCCACCAATTTTTTTCTCTCAGACCACCAGTGGTCCCCGGCCTACTGGTTGGTGACCACTGCACTAACAGATGGGAAGGCCCCAATCCAACTCTTCATTCTCTAACCCCCAAAGGCCTCTTTTTTCCAGTCCCAAATCTTAGACACGGTGAAATGTAACTCCGCTCCCTACATGTTCAGAGGCAACCTGTTCTGCCCCAAACACGACAAACTCTCTGCAGTGAAATCAATGATTCCTTTATTAGGAGCACCAGCAGCCACAGCAAAAAGCTTATTTTTCATCGCAGGCTAACTAGTCTATCCGGCCGGGAGACAAATTGTTGTCTGCCACATCTATTCGTCTCTGCCCCCTGTTTTTTAATCCCCAGAACTACGGTGGGGCTTTGCTAGCAGCAGTGGCTCTTCCGTCCCACGGACTGGCCCATAGATTTCCACTGCTCTCCTCTCTTCTGCCTTCTGCCCATCTGCGTGACAGGCACTATTAAGAGGGGTGGACTTCCAAGAATTCCCAGCCAGGGTGCTTTAAGAGGGGTGGACTTCAACTCCCAGAATCCCCCAACAAGCACGCTTTAAGATGGATGGACTTCCACTCCCAGAATTCCCCAGTCAGCATATTTTAAGATGAGTTTACTTCAACTCCCATGCTGGCTGGGGAATTGAAGTCCCCCCATCTTCAAATGGAAAAGGTTGAGAAAGAAGTGTCCTTAACCAATCAGGTTTCATTCAACAAACCCTGGGTTAATCCATCATGCAAACCTGGTTTGAGTCAGAAGTGCCTGCCTGACGAGCTGCCTTTCACTGTGGGAATTCTGGGAGTTGAAGTCCATCCTTCTTCAAGCCACCGATATTGAGAAACGTTGAATTGGGGATCGCATCTCACCCAACCAGCCAAGCTCTTGCTGTCCCAAATAATTATGTATGTGTATATCTCCAGTTCTCTGATACAAATTTCCTTTTTATTTCTGGATTTTAGGAATGATCGACTGTGGATTTGCATGGAATATTGTGGAGGGGGGTCCTTGCAGGAGATCTATCACAGTGAGTTTCTGCCTGTTGGAAGACGGAAGGAAGTATTATTTGCTGTCCTTTTAGGATCCATTTCTAAGTGGATTATACACATTATAGTAGAGATGGTGGAGATGGCGTGGTAGCTTACATTCCTGGGATCAGCCTACATTCCAGCATAATTTGCAGGAGGCAACCGGGGGTGGAATTCAAATTTCTTAACAACCAGTTCTGTGGGTGTGGCTTGATGGTCATGTGACTGGGTGGGCATGGCTTGTATGTAAATATTATAAATATTTATATAAATATTGATTTTTTTTAATAAAAAGAGCAACTTTTACCCCAAAGCAGGCAAAGCAGGCAGGCAGATTGAGTTGCTCACAGAATCACAGATTCACTTAGAGATCTTCCTTTCTGCAATCTGCTGCCTGAGTCTGCACTGAAAAGCTTCAGTCCTAAGGAAGGTTTTAGATTATCTAGAAAGCAAGAAATCCAGGGACTTCTGAAGGCAAGCTGATTAATTGTTCTCACTGTTAGGGAATTTTTCCTTAATTCCAGGTTGCTCCTCTCCTGAATTAGTTTCCATCCGTTGTTTCTCTGGTGCTTTGGAGAATAATTTGACCCCCTCCTCTTTGTGGCAGCCCCTCAAATACTGGAAGACTGCTAACTTATCCTCCCCTAGTCTTTCTTTTCTCTAGACTGGCCAAACCCAATTCCTGCAACTGTTCTTCCCATGTTTTATGCTCCAGGCCTTTTAATCATCTTAGTTTGCTCTTCTCTGCATTTTTTCCAAAGTCTCAACATCTTTTTTTGTAATGTGGGGACGGAAACTGGATGCAGGATTCTATAGATGTGATATGTCCACGTAGCCTCCGAGAATTGGGACCACAACTGAAAGAAAAGAAAAAATTGCAAATGGGAGATTAAATCCTTTGGCTTGGCCACCTATTTCCCTTTCTCCCCCCCCCCCCCCCCCCGCACAACTCACAGAAACAAACCTGTTGATGATCCAGCCTTGGCTAGTTCCCTTTTGGAAAATTTTACTTCCCTTTTTTGCTCTCATGTGCCTTGGGTGCCAGGAGAGGGTTCAATTTGCAGTTGGGGGGAAAAGTTAGAAAAGGAAGTGATGGCTGCCTGATGGAGAGTGAAACAGTGCGCCTTTGACCCCCTGTAGAATTTAAACCAAAGGGCCAGTTTGGCTGCTCCGAATTAAAGGGATTAAAGTGGATTAAAGATGATTAATATGGGCCCTCCCTCTTATGAATGAATGCCCCCTTTGTTTCCATGGGGGGAAGTTTAGGGAAAATTCTTTGGAAAACTCAACAAAATGTTATCATGTGCAATTTAATCCCAACAAAATGGAAAGTTGCAAATTTGCTTTTGGTGGATTCCACCCCTGCAGGATTTGGGGCGGTGAGTGGCCAGTAGATGCTGAAACTCAAGATTAATAGTTATTAATAAAGGGGGGAAATCAAGATCACATGAAGTGTTGGTACCACTTTATAATGCCTTGGTAAGGCCACACTTGGAGTACTGTATCCAGTTTTGCTCACCCAGGGGTGGAATTCAAATTTTTAACAACCGGTTCTGTGGGCGTGGCTTAGTTGGGGAGTGTGGCTTGGTGGTCATGTGACTGGGTGGACGTGGCTTGGTGGTCATGTTATTGGCTGGGCGTGGCCAACTCAACATCCCTCACATCGAGGCATGCATCTCCTCGCCTGGCCTCTCGTGACTGTGGGGATGCTACAACAGTCGTAAGTGTGAAAAATGGTTATAAGTCACTTTTTTCAGTGCCATTGTAACTTGGAATGGTCACTCCACACAAGCAAAGTACCAGCAAAGGAGGGGAAAAAAACTTCAGAGAGGTTCCTGAGACAGGAAGTCTAGTCCTACCACGAATGTACTAAGGGTTAATAGAGAGGCAGTTTCTGTAAGCAACACCAGAATGTTTCCTTCCTGCCTTCCTTACAGGATTAGCCCAGTAATTTCTTCTAACAACTGAACTGGTTCTCCAAACTGCTTAGAATGTTAACAACCGGTTCTAGCGAATAGGTGCAAACTGGTAGAATCCCACCCCTGTGCTCACCCCAATATAAAAAAGATATTGAGATTCTGGAAAGAATGCAGAGAAGAGCAGCAAAGATGATTAAGGGACTGAAGGCTAAAACATGCAAAGAACTCTTGCAGTTTCATTAAACTACTCTAGTTTAATGAAAAGAAGGACTAAGAGTCTTAAAACATTTGAGGGGCTCCTATAAAGATGAGGGGGTTAAACTTCTTTCCAAAGTACTGAAAGCGAAGACAAGAAGCAACTGATGGAAACTAATCAAGGAGAGAAGCAACCTAGAACTAAGGAGAACTTTCCTAATGAATGGTGAGAGCAATTAATATGGAATAACTTTCCACCAGAAGTTGTGGGTGCTCCATCACCAGAGGCTTTCAAAAAGAGACTGGACAACCATTTGTCTGAAATGGTGTAGGGTCTCCTGCTTGAGCAGGGGGTTGGACTAGAAGACCTCCAAGGTCTCTTCCATCTCTGTTCTTCTAAGTTGTGATGACCCAAAGGGGCGTGGCACAAAGGCAACACAGTCAGATAATCAGTAGGAGTCCCTTTATTAGCTCCAACTTTGCCCCCAAGGTCCTGGTTACCTTCTGGCTGGAGAAAAACTCTCCCAGGAACAGCCTTTGGCTGCAGGGAATCAAGGCCAAAACGTGGTCAACAAAAACTGTAACTAAAAGTCCAATCAAGGCAAATGAGGTCATTAGTTCGGCAGGGCAGGAGCAAGAATTCCAGACGTGAAGGAACGGCAGTAATTCAACACAGTTGGAAGATGCCAGGAACATAAATAAGCAAAGTCAACACAAGATAAACTCACGTTTGCTCCCAGAAGCTGCCACACTCAGCTTGCATCTCTTTTAAAGTCCCTTCCGAGCTGTGGCTAATGAAGGGAATCAGGGCCCTTTCCTCCCCCGTAAGCCATGCAACCCATGTTGCTCCCTTCTCCGTTCCTCCCTGCGTACTCTAGGATGAAGAGGAGGGTGGGCCTGGGTCTTCCTCTGAACTCCCTCTCTCTTGTTCTACCTCTTCCCTGCTCTGCCCAGCCGGACTTCGCTCTTCTCCAGTTTCCTCCACAGCCAATGGAGCCACACTCCCACTCCCTGTCAGCTGTTTGTCTTCCTCCTCGGATTCAGACTCCGACAGGGGCATGACATAAGTTCTAGGTGCTAAGATAATTCAGTTTTCTCTTTTTTTCAGGTACTGGGCCTCTATCTGAAAAACAGATTGCCTATGTCTGCAGAGAAACCCTCCAGGTAAGTGTAAAGGTGATGGGGATGACTCTTCCTGCCGGGAAAAGCAAAATATAGTGGGTTCCAGGACTGATATACAGGCAGTCCTTGCCTTACGAGCATTTGTTTCGGGATTGAAGTTACAACATCATTGAAAAAAGTGACTTATGGCCATTTTTCACAGTTACGACCGTTTGCAACATCCCCACGGTCACATGATCAAAATTTGGCCGTTTGGCGACCGTTTCATATTTGTGATTATTTCTGTGTCCTGGGATCACATGATCCCCTTTTGCGACCTTCTCACAAACAGAGTCATTGCGGAAGCCAGCTTCACTTAACAGCCTTGACACTAACTTAACAACTGCAGTGGATTCACTTCACCAATATGGCAGGCAAGATCATAAAACGGGGCACACCTCATTTAACAACTGTCTTGCTTAGCAACAGAAATGTAGGGCTCCCTTGTGGTCGTAAGTCGAGCACTACCTATAATTCCACTATAATGATAATTTGCTGGGCAATTATTTGGAAACGGTTTCCCACCCTTTCTATTATACATGCTGGCTGGGGAATTCTGGGAGTTGAAGTCCACAAGAATTAAACTTGCCAAGCTTAAAGATTTCTGGTTTGGAAAAAATATATAAACGGAGAGAAACGTGATACAAATAGTCCCAACTTGCGACCATTTTTTTAGTGTTGACTGAAGTTGCAACGGCACTGAAAAAAGGGACTTATGTCTGGTCCTCAAACTTACGACCATTGGAGCATTCCCCACAGTCAAGTTTTCAAAATTCAGACACTCAGCAACTGACTCATATTTATGACGGTCGCAGTGTCCCAGGGTCCACTTTTGCAACCTTCTGACCAACAAACTCAATGGGGGAGCCAAGATTCACTTAACAACCATGTTACTAACTTAACAACTGCAGTGATTGATTTAACAAGTGTGGCAAAAAATGTGGAAAAACTCACTTAACAGGTATCTCACTTAGCAAGAGAAATTTTGGGCTCCATTGTGGTCATAAGTTGAAGACTATATGTAGATTTTTTTTTAATTTTGTTTGAATCTTACAGTAGTTTAATTTGTCTTGTGGTAAAGAGAGAAAAATATATATATATCTGTTTCTCCATGCCATAAATAATTCTACCAACTTCAGTTTATCTCTCCTTTTTTTCCTCCTTCCTCTGACCTAAATCCTTCCGGATATAGAATTGCTCTGGGCTCCTAAATTATTTTGATTCCTCCTTAGGATTTTTCTCTTCTCATTTTTCCACCTCAGCAAGTTTCTTTTCTTTTGAGCTGCAATAAACGAAATACGACATAACATAGATTGTGTGACTGCAGTGCAGATGACTGTAAAAGCAAAATATAGGGCAGTGTTTTCCAACCTTGACAAACTTAGAATGGGTGGGCTTCAACTCCCATAATTCCCCAGTCAAGAGGCTTTAAGATTGGTAGAATTCAACTCCCATAATTCCCCAGTCAGAGTGTTTTAAGAAGGGTGGACTTCAACTCCCAGAATTCCCTAGTCAACAGGCTTTAAGACGAGTTTACTTCAACTCCCATGCTGGCTGGGGAATTCTGGGAGTTGAAGTCCATCCCTCTTCAAGTGGAAAAGAAACAAGGGTGTTTAACCAATCAGGGCTCATTCCACAAATCCTGGGTTAATCCATCATGCAAACCTGGTTTGAGTCAGAGTGCTTGCCTGACAAGCTGTCGGAATTGTCGCCTTTTGTTTCCCTTTTAGGGGCTTCACCACTTGCACACCAAAGGGAAAATGCACAGAGACATTAAGGTGAGACAGATTCAATTTTGTCCGTTTTAATCTCGCTTTTTAAAGCACTTTGGGACCTCCAGGTGGGAGAAGGGAGGAAGAGCGTCTCTCCAAAATGGCCACCAGTCCTTCTGAATCTCTTTTTCTCTCTCTGATTCAGGGGGCCAATATCCTGCTGACGACCAACGGCGACGTCAAACTGGGTTAGTTCCTCTTCCGATATTCCCTTCCTGCTCGGCATCTCGGTTTGTCTGCAGAGCAGGTCAAAAAAACAACAACCTGCAAGATGGTGGGCAGGGCCTTGCAGTTGAAACCCCGCCCCCTTTTAGCATGCATTGTTCGTTAAAAGGGGGTGGGGCTTCCGCTGCATGACCAACAGCCACCATCTTGAATTTTTTGACACACCTTAAAACCCCTTCCCCCCCCACACACACACAACGGAGACTTCTGGGTTTGAGGTATCCTGGCTGGGATTGATTGTTGAGCCTGCCCAGGAAGTCCTCGACTTAACATCCCCTTTTTAGTGACCATTCAAAGTTACAACCCCACTGAAAAAAAGTCACGTTAAGACTTTAGTGTGTTATGACTGGGGCAGCATTCTCATAGTCACGTGATCAAAATTGAGGCACTTGGCAACTGACTGGTACTTATGACGGTTGCAGCGTTCCGCGGTCCCTTTTTGCGAACTTCTGACAAGCAAGGTCAATGGGGAAGCCAGATTCACTTAACGACCGTGTGACTAACTTAACAACTGCAGGGATTCACTTAACCACTGGAGCAAGGAAAGATGTAAAATAGGGAAAAATTCACTAAAAAAAAACACCTATCTTGCTACTTCTATCCGAAGTCCATTTCAGGATTCACATTGATGATGATGATAATCCATTTCTTTATCCTCTGCCTCCTGCCCCCATTGCTCTCTGAGGGGAGAGAGAGTGAACAGAGCAGCCTAAGAACAGAGCCTAGAATAGAATAGAAAAAGAAAATGAAATAAGAATTATTAGAATTAGAATAATGAGAATCAGAATAATTAGAATTAGAATAATGAACATTGGAATAATGAGAACTAGAATAATGAGAACTAGAATAATGAGAATTAGAATCTCTCTATATAAAAGCGAAATGCCACTCACGCATCATCACAAAATCTCCAGAACTGTAAAGCCTACAAACTTGAAATCTGGCACATATATTCTTCTTGGTTTCTAGGTGCTCGTTAAGAAAGGATTTTTCGAAATGACCATCAGAGCATTAGTATTTCCTATATTATTATTATTAACATGCTCTGATGCTAAGGAGTTCTACTCCCCCTCCCCACCTGAAAAGAAATCTGTGCCAAAGGCAAAACACAAGCAGAGGAGAGGAGTTTCAGATTCACAGCATCAAGCAGCTTCAGTACAGAACAGTTGAGCTAAACCACGCCCAGGCTCCTTTCTATCTCCTTCTTGCTCACACAGCAAATACTGTTTCAGTTTCCAAACAGCCTTCAACTTTCTCACACACTGACAGGACCCTAGCCAGATCAATACCGATGGATGCTGGTAGGCAGAGGCAGAATTTTCATTTCCTTATTTTCCTCCCCAAAAACTAAGCCCAACCACATAGTTTCGTAACGAAGCACAGGTATCCAGCTAGTTAGAATTAAAAATAGAATTAGAATAAGAATAGAATTAGAATAGAACGGAAGAGAATTGGAATGGAATGGAATAGAATAGAATAGAATAGAATTAGAATAAGAATAAGAATTGGAATGGAATGGAATAGACACTGAAGTTGAACTACAATTCCTATCCTTTGTATACCTACACCAGCCATTCCAGATGGCTCAGTTGAAACTCTGTTTGATGTTGTTCCTCCTTCTCTCTCCTCCACAGCGGACTTTGGGGTCTCGGCAGAATTAACCGCTTCGGTGGCCAAGCGAAAATCGTTCATCGGAACGCCCTATTGGTAAAACCCGTGTGTTCGCTCTGCTTATTTGCAATCTGCCTCCCACACCGCTATCGCGAGGTCGGTGCTCTGTGTGTGTGTGTCCTGCGGCAGAATGAGCAAGTCTTAACTTGGTGGTCCTGCAAAACCTTCCCGTGAAAATTCAGTCACAAGGCGAAACCGTGAAACGTGAATGAATTTGATTCATTCATCCAGAATGGAGCCTTCTGTTAAAAAAGGAAGTGAGAGAGACAAAAGGGGGAAAATTTGCATTGTGAAGGGAGCAAAGGGAATTTGGACCACAGAGGTTGAGAGAGAGAGAGATAAAAAGATTATTTGTTAGCCTTCAAACTCTGTTGCTGGCTTTATGGATTAGGCCTCTTCACGGTAAAGGTACAACATGTCCTCATGTTGCATGAAATCTGGAAGCTTTCAAGAAGAGACTAGAGTTGCCATCTGTCAGAAATGGTGTAGGGTCTCCTGCTTGGGTGGGGGGCTGGACTAGATGACCTACAAGGTCCCTTCCAACTCTCATTATTCTGTTAAATCCACTCTTGGAAGTTGTTGCCTTTGCTGATTTATCACCACAAAGAATGAGTGTTCTTGGAGTGGCTGGGAAAGTTAATATTAAGAAAGGAACTAGACAAGGATGCCCTCTGTCACCATTGTAATTTGTACTGACATTAGAAGAGTTAAATAGAAATATTAGGAAAGATAAGGAAATAAAGAGTATGGAGATAAAAGAAAAAGGAAGAGTATAAATTACAGGCATTTGCAAATTATTTTGTTTTTATATTAGAAGAACCACTAGAAACAGGGCCTAAACTGACAAAAAGGATAGAAGAATATGGAGAAGTTGCGGGACTGAAAATAAACAAGGGAAAAAACTAAAATCTTAATGAAAAATGTCACAGAAAAGCAAAAAATAGAATAAATAGACAGGCTAGATATTCAGATTACAAAGAAAGTGAAATATCTGGGGATTCAATTCACAGCAAGATGTGGGACGATTAAAGAAGATAACTATTATAAATTAAAACAACAGAACAAAATAGACCTGGAAAAATCTGCAACTATCATTAATAGGGAGAATAGCAACAATTAAAATGAATATATTACCAAGAGCTCTTGGAAGTTGTTGCCTTTGCTGATTTATCACCACAAAGAAAGAGCGTTTTTGGAGTGGCTTCCTCGTCTTATCTTGCATTCTGTCTGATTCTCCAGGATGGCACCAGAGGTGGCCGCGGTGGAGAAGAAAGGCGGCTACAACCAGCTGTGCGACATCTGGGCCCTGGGCATCACCGCTATTGAACTGGCAGAGCTGCAGCCCCCACTCTTCGACCTGCACCCCATGAGGTAAGGAAGCTGGATGAGAGAAAGTTTGCAGAGAGCTGGGTAGGCTGAGCTGGATGTAGAGGTTAGCATGGATTTAGATTTGCAAGCATAGCAGTTTTCAAATAGGTGGACTTCAACTCCCAGAATTCACCAGCCAGCATGGTTTAAGATGGGTGGACCTCAACACCCAACATTCCCTAGCCAGCGTTCTTTAAGGTGGGTGGACTTCAACTCCCAGAATTCCCTGGCAAGGATGCTTTAAGACGGGTGGACGACAGCTCCCAGCATTTCCTAGGCAGCGTGCTGGCTAGGGAATTCTGGGAGTTGAAGTCCACATATCTGAAAGTTGGTGAGGCTAGGAAACATTGAATTACAATATCCATCGGTATTTCAGGGTTCTTAGGGGGAAAAACAGTGGAAAAATGAGGGGTATCTGTTCATTTTTACTTCTCCTTTGATTTCTTTATTATTTCTTCATTTTTAAAAATTAAAATTATACGGTCACCCATCTAAAATACACAACTCTAGATCTCTCACAAGTAAAAACAGAATTTAAAAATTATAAATACGTTTTATCGGGAGTCTCACTAAACCTTACTTTGTGAGTTGTTTTGATCTTGGCTTCCTGATTAAATTCCTAATTAAAATTGGCCACAGCCTTGATTTCCCTTCTTATCTTTAATGCAAGCACTACCTTTTCAGTCTCTCTGATTAAAAAAAACCCAACAACAATAAAACAAGCAACCTCGGTAGGTGTGTATTTCCGAAATCCTAATTACAGCTTCAAAAATCCTAGAATTCTTTGGCGTTGGCTTGGGTGACAGATGCAAAAAAACTCATAATTTTGCTCCTGTCATTGAAAGATCAGCATATCAATTTGGCTCCTTGGGAGAGGCAGGATTAAATCCACCCACAATAGCAAAACCACACACAAAAAATGCCACTGGTTTGGCCTTTCTAGAAAAACCAGCTTCCCAACATCTCGATGTCCGTGTTTGTGTAATATTTGACCGTCCTTCATAGCCGCTCCCTGCTCAAGGATCAGATAAATAGATAATCAGAGTTGGAAGGGACCTTATAGGTCATCTAGTCCAACCCCCTGCCCACGCAGGAGACCCTACACCATTTCTGACAAATGGCAGTCCAATCTCTTCTTGAAAGTCTCAAGTGATGGCGCTCCCATAACTTCCGAGGGCAACTTCTGTTCCATGAGATTGTTCTCACTGTCAGAAAGTTTCTTATTTCCAGGTTAAATCTCTCCTTCTTCAGTTTCCATCCATTATTCCTTGTCATCAGATCCCCAAATTTGTCTGCAAAAATGCTGGCCCTGAGATCCTGGCCCTCTGACACCTTCCCAAGAGTTGGGACTCCAGCTCCCATCAGCCTCAGCCACTGTTCAATACAGGTAGTCCTCGGTTTACCATTTAGTTGTCAGGATTCCGGCACTTAACCCCATTTAAATCATGAGCCTCAAGCCAAACTTCCAAAGCTTCAAAAAGATTTATTGGGAGTTAGAAGGTGCAGCATTGCCTGGGTGTATCGTAATTCATATTCTCCAATGGGACACATCCATAGCACAGAGTCACCCATCATACTCTCCAGTTAGAATTTCGCACGGCAGAAACTTCAGTCACCTAGTTACTATCTCTGAAAACATTTATGGAATGCAATTTCGGTTTTGCAAGCTGCCTCATTGCTCCCCCCTCCCTTTCTGTTGGCATCTCTAAAAAGACCAGAGAAATATTTTATGATTGACGTTAGTGACCTTTTAAAGTTATAAATGACTCATTACCATTTTTCAAACTCACAACCGTTGTAGCATGCCCCATGGGCATGTGATTAAAATTTGGATGGCAATTGTTTCATATTTATGACGGTCGCAGTGTCCCTGGGCAGGGGGTCATGTGATCCCCTTTTGCAACCTTCTGACAAAGCCAAGTCCATGGGGGAGCCGGGTTCACTTAACGACCGTGTGACTAAATTAACGCCTGCAGGGGTTTACTTAACAACGATGGCAAGAAAAGTAGAAAACGGGGCAAAAGTTACAACGGAAATTTGGGGCTCGGTTGTGATCGTAAGTGGAGGACTCCTTGTAATTGGAGGTTTGAATAAGACAAAGGAAAACAAAGCAATTAAGCATTTTTTCTGAATGGTCCTTTCATTTCGGTGGAATGTTTGAGCATTCCATGACATCACCATGAATCAGCCAATGGGAGAGAAGAAATTTTGTAGAGAAGGGATTCCTGTTTCTTTAAAACATGGGTCTCCCAACTTCGCAACTTTAAGACTTGTGGACTTCAACTCCCAGAATTCCCGGGCAAGGATGCTTTAAGATGGGTGGACTTCAACTCCCAGAATTCTCCAGCCAGCATGCTTTAAGATGTGTAGACTACAAATCCCAGCATTCCTAGCTGGTATGCTTAAATATGGATGGACTACAGCTCCCAGCATTTCCTAGGCAGCATGCTGGCTAGGGAATTCTGGGAGTTGAACTCCACATATCTGAAAGTTGATGAGTCTAGGAAATATTGAATTACAATATCTACCAGTATTTCAGGATCCTTAGGGTAAAAAAACTCCCAGAATTCCTCAGTGAAACCTAGCAACTTTAAGGCTCCCAGAATTCCTCAGCCAGCTATAGAGTTGAATTGAATACTGGGAGTTGAAGTCCACAAGTCTTAAAAGTTGCCAAGTATGGACACTTCTCCTTTAAAACAAAGGAGAAAAAGAAAGTTAGTTCTAACTCTTGTTTTGTTTTGCTGTGCAGAGCTCTGATGTTGATGTCGAAGAGCAACTTCCAGCCCCCCAAGCTAAAAGATAAGGCGTGCTGGTGAGTGTGTGGGTGTGTAAGAGACACAATTCTTCTCCTAGGGCACTAGGAAATTTTCTCTTCATTTGCATTCCTGTTTTATCCTTCCAGGTCTCCCGATTTTCACCACTTCCTCAAACTCTCCTTGACCAAAAATCCCAGAAAACGACCAGTGGCAGAAAAACTCTTGCAGGTGATGGCAGGTTGGGAGGTGGGCAAAAATTAACAACCCCACCTTCAGATCCCCCTCCCCCAAATCAAAACTCAGGAAAGGAAAGGAATACCACATCGTCTGTACTAGGGATGCTGGAGACATTCGTGAGGGGCCTGTCGGGATTCCAGCAATCGCTCTAATTAAATCATGATTCTCGAGCCAAAGTTCAAAAAACTTCAAAGGATTCATTAGAGGCGACATACTGGCACTGTCCTGTGTGAAGCCAACTCTGGCAGACATCACTTACAGTCCCCTGTGACCCCGTTTCTCCCCTGGGTGTGTCATCAATCACATTCTCCAATTAAATATATTCCAGGGCAAAATCTCTGGTAGTTTAGCTACAATTTTTACAGATAAGAGTTGGAACATACTTCCACTTTCAACTGCTCTTCCAGATTTCCTTCCTCACCCCCTTTTTTATGGCAACTACTAAAACAAGCATAGGAATGTTTTATGAGTTGACACGGCCATTTTGTTTTCCCAGAATGCAGGTAGTCCTCGACTTACGACCAAAATTGAGTCCAAGCTTTATGTTCATAACCGAGACCAGTGTTAAGTTGACTTTAGCCCCATTTTATTTGCGAAGGGAAATTGTTGCAGTTGTTTGAAGTTAGCCACAAGGTTGTTAAGTGAATCTTGGCTTCCCCATGGCTTGACAGGGAGTGTCACAAAAAGGGATCACATGATACCCCACCCCCGGGGCCATCATAAGTGTGAGTCAGTTGCAAAGCAGCTGCATTTTGGTCGTGTGACCCTGGGGAGGCTCCAGCGGTCGTGTGAAAAATGGTCATAATTCACTTTTTTTCCCAGTGCCCTTTTCACTTTGGTCACTAAACGAACTGTTGTAATCAAAGGACTACCTGTACCCTGATGTAGTGTCAGGGGATTATGGGATATTTTAATGGGCTTCCTGTTTCCCCATTCCAGAGAGCTATCCTTCTTTGCTAGGTTCATTCCTAAAGCAGCTTTAACGTATTATGGGATATTTTTGGACTGGGGTGTCCATTTGCTGTAGGAAATCTTGGGGTCCTCTTTGGGGAACAAGCTCCCAATGAAAACTGGGAGGATTTTTGGTCGGTGGTGGGATTCAATTTTTTTACTATCGGTTCTGTGGCTTGGTGGGCATGGCAGGGAAAGGATACTGCAAAATCTCTCCCCACCCCACTAACCTGCTTTCCAGCTCCGTTCTCCTATGCAGGGCAACCAAAGAAGACCCAGCCAATTAGCTGGGACTCAGGAGGCGGAGAATAGATGGGGGCGGGGCCAGTTCGAGACAGTATTCTCTGGTTCTCCGAACTACTCAAAATTTCTGCTACCGGTTCTCGAGAACCGGTCAGAACCAGCTGAATACCACCTCTGTTTTTGGTCCCTTCGGCTTATCGGCGTCTCTTCTCCCGTAGCATCCTTTCGTCTCCCAGCCTTTAGCTCGTGTTCTTGTCATTGAATTACTGGATAAAGCCACAAACCCTGAATTGGCTGCTACTGCCTTGGACGATGGGGATTTCGAGGTACGGTTGTCCAGTTGTGTTGGGTATGTTGGGGTAGGTGGGTGGTTGGATGGAGGAGGATGGAGATTAAGTTAATCCCTTTCAACTTCGCTCATATTTTCGGTTCTGCACTAGGCGAACCGGTTGTTAAATTATGTGAAGCCCGCCTCTGGTCGCCATGTGTGAATAGGCGGCAATATAAATTCCATAAATAAGTAAGAAAGTAAATCTATATATATATAAGTGAAATACCACTCAGGCATCATCACAAAATCTCCAGAACTGTAAAGCCTACAAACTTGAAATTTGGCTTCTAGGTGCTCACTAAGAAAGGATTTTTCGAAATGATCATCAGAGCATTAGTATTTCCTATATTATTATTAACATGCTCTGATGCTAAGGAGTAAAAAGATACATTCGTCAAGAATCATAAGTACAACACTGAATGATAGTCATAGGGTACAATAAGCAATAATCAAGAGCATTAGTATTGCCTATATTATTATTATTAACACGCTCTGATGCTAAGGAGTTCTACTCCCCCTCCCCACCTGAAAAGAAATCTCTTCCAAATGCAAAACACAAGCAGAGGAGAGGAGTTTCAGTTTCACAGCACCAAGCAGCTTTAGTACAGAACAGTTGACCTAAGCCATGCCCAGGCTCCTTACTGTCCCTTTTTTGCTCACACAGCAAATACTGTTTGAGTTTCCAAACATCCCTCAACTTTCTCACACACTAGCCAGACAAGTACCAATGGAAGCTGGTAGGCAGAGGCAGAATTCCCCCCCACCCCTTATTTTCCTCCCCCAAAACTAAGTCCGATCACATAGTTTCCTAGCAAAGTCCGGGTATCCAGCTAGTAAATGAATATTGGAAACAAAAAAATGTGACTTTCGCTCCCAATTCAGGCTTACGACGTTTTCCCTGATAAAATCTGCTCGAGTAAGCCACATGGGCCGGCAGAAGGCACCCTGTCGGAGATCCAGCGTAAGTATAGCCCATATGTCAGAATGGCCTTCCGTGCGAATGTATGTTTGTATACAAACACCTGCTTTGCTGACCCAGTTTTCTAAAATGCGGGAGGCCCACTAGAGCAAGAAGATTATTTCGGGAAGAAATGAGGTATTGTTGTGCCTTGAAGCCCTGAAGAGGGATGGAATTAAAGTCCTGGGCTTAGGCAAGAAAACCAGATGTACAGGTAAAGGAGAGGCAGTACCTGGGCCAACAGTACAGATAAGTCCTCGACTTACAGCAGCTCATTTAGTGACCGTTCAAAATTACAACGGCACCAAAAAAAAACTGATTTTTGATCATCACTGGAGGTTTTTAAGAAGACATTGGACAGCCATTTGTCTACAATGGTGTAGGGTCTCCTACTTCAGCAGGGGGGTTGGACTATTAGACCTCCAAGATCCCTCCCAGCCCTACGGTTCCATAATGAAATGTAAAACTACATTTTTTTTTCTAAAGAACTCAGCTCCATTGAGGGAACTCCATGCACCCTCCCTTGTTGTCTATGGAGATTCTCAGTCCTCCAGGTCATTTTTGTCCCAAAGGTGCTTTTTTCAAGAGGCAACTGGACTTTGGGGTTTGTTTGTTTTTGTTTTTAAGACGTTTCGCTTCTCATCCAAGAAGCTTCTTCAGCTCTGACTGGACGTTGGGGAACAGAAGGATTTATACCCCTTGCAGACAGCTGGTCGTTTGCGTTCTTTTAGAGAGCTGTTGAGGCCATTTGGAGGTTTATTTGTGTCCTCAGATAAATCTGTGTCCTCAAGTGGGTCCTTCCACACCCATTTGCACTACTCAGGTGACCCCGGGGACATAGACAAACCTCCAAGTGGCCTCAATGACCCTCAAAAAGGATGCAAATGCCCAGCTGCCTGCAAGGAGTATAAATTCTTTCATTCCCCACCATCCAGTCAGAACTGGAGAAGCTTCTTGGATGAGAAGCAAAATGTCTTCAAAGAAAAACCAGAAAGTCCAGTGGCCTGTTGGAAAAAGCACCTTTGGGACAACCTCGCTTGTTCTTAACTAATATTGGGGGATTGTGGTCCAAAATCAGCACAAAATGACCCACTTTTCTCACTTCTTATTGTATTGCTTGCAAAGAAACTTTAAAAATTGGGGATTTGGCCTTTCAAACCCTTGGAGTAGAATCTCATTTCTGCCTATCTGGCTGATCTTTCAATTGTTCCTGTTTTCCAGTTAACCAGGTTAAATTCGGCCCTCCGCTAAGGAAAGAAACGGAGCCGTGGGGCAACTCAGTAAGTGGCATTCATAAAATGTGTATTTGTGTCTGTGTTGACATGTTGTACAAATGTAACTTGTTTGGCTCTGTTTAACGTTTGCATGAATCGAGCCATAGTCAGGCTGTAAACTGTGGTTTGCAGCTGGGAGTATCAATCCTTTAAACTGGTGACGAAACAAACTGGGGTTTAGGGTTTTTCATGCACAGTGTAAGTTGGCTGTTTTCCTATTGTCTCCTTCCTGTGTGCTAGATATGGAATACAAGCAGTCCTCGACTTACAAAAGTTCATTTAGTGACTGTTCAAAGTTACAATGGCACTGGAAATAATGACTTTTTCACACTCACGAGCGTTGCAACATCACGTGATCAAAACTGAGACACTTGGCAACCGACTCATATTTATGACGGTCGCAGTGTCCCGGGGTCATGTGATTCCCCCTTTTGCGACCTTCTGACAAGCAAGAAGTCCATGGGGAAGCCAGATTCACTTAACAACCATGTCACTCACTTAACAACTGCAGTGGTTCACCTAACAGCTGTAGCAAGAAAGATGGGCCACACTCACTTAAGCACTGGTTCTCTTTACAAAAGAAATTTTGGGGTCATAAGTTGAGGACTGCCTGTACATTCCCACCCATCCTGTTTTCTTGGGGGGTCAGAATTGGGAAGTGAAGCAGCTCAGCCGCCAAGCTCCAGATGTGAGGGTGAAAAATAAAACTAGATCACTTTTATTCTGGCCCGTTTAATACGACCGTTTTTGTCTCTTTAGCAGACGGAAGAAGAGGAAGAGAATTGGATGGTGCTTGGAGATGGAGAGTAAGGAATTTAGGGGGGCAAAGATGTGGTCGGGGTGGGAGTGGTACTGTGGCCTTGAGGTGGCCTCCTCACAATCAGGAGGCTGTGAGTTTGATCCTGCCGAAGGTCGAGGCAGATATTTCTCTCTCTGGACACAATGAGAATATATCTGCTGAATATGTAACTCCGTACTGGCAACAGGAAGGGCATCGGGCCAGTAAAACACTCTGCTAGCTCCATTCAATTGCCCAGACTCTACCCGGCAAGGGATTGTGGGGTCGTTAAAAGAAGATGAAAGATGTGGTCGGGGTGCTTTTCCTCACCTTCCCTATCCTGCCTGAGCCATTGACTTGCTTTATGACGGAGTGTGAAAACATGGGGAGCTAATTTCTGCCTCTTTGTCTGGACCAAAACTATTGTTTTTAAGCATGCTGTGCAAACACAAACATGGAGTTTTATTAACCCAGGGTTTGGACAAGGCACTTGTTATATAGTGGGGCTTAATTTATGCTGGTGTGTTGCCCAGAACCCAGACAATTGTGGTTTGGCCAATAAACTTTGATGGATGTCTACGGAGATTTTCAGTCATCCAGTCATGGTTATCCCAAAGGTGTTTCCCCCCCCCCCAAAAAAAAAAGTCAACTGGACTTTGTTTTTCCTTGAAAATGTTTCGCTTCTCATCCAAGGAGTCTGAATTGAAGAAGCTTCTTGGACGAATAACAGAGTTGGAAAGGACCTTGGAGGTCTTCTAGTCCAACCCCCTGTTCTGCAGGAAACTCTATGCCATTTCAGACAAATTGTTGTCCAATCACTTCTTAAAAGCTTCCATTGATGGATTATTCACAACTTCTGGAGGCAGCTCATTTCACTGGTTTATTATTCTGACTGTCAGGAAATTTCTCCTTGTTTGTTTGTTTGTTTGTTTATTATTTGTTTATTTATTTTTGACAATTGCTTACAAGATAATAGGTATAAGTATATACATAGTTATTAATACATGAAATGGGTACATATAAGAAACAATAAAAAGAAACAATAGGACAGGGATGGTAGGCACATTGGTGCACTTATGCACGCTCCCTCTTAGGAAAGGGGTGAGGTCAATAGTAGACAGTCTAATGTTGAAGATTTTGGGGTTTGGGGAAGAAACCACAGAGTCAGGTAGAGTATTCCAGACATTGACCACTCTGTTGCTGAAGTCGTATTTCCTGCAATCAAGTTCGGTGCAGTTAACCTTGAGTTTGTATCTATTGTGTGCTCTTGTGTTGTTATGGTTGAAGCTGAAGTATTCATTTGCAGGTAGGACATTGCAATGTATGATTTTACATACTATACTTAGATCGGACCGAAGGCGGTATAATTCTAGGTTTTCTAGGTCTAGAATTTCAAGTCTGGTGGCATAAGGTATTCTGCAATGAGTAGAGGAGTGGAGAACTCTTCTCGTGAAATATTTCTGGACTTTCTCTGTATTAATATTAGATACGTAATGTGGGTTCCTGACTGATGAGCTATATTCAAGTATTGGTCTAGCAAATGTTTTGTATGCTCTAGTTAGTAGTGTGATATTACCAGAGGAAATAACTATGCAGGATTAGGTTAACAACTCTTAATGCCTTTTTGGCTATGTAGTTCTAGGTTGCTTCTCTCCTTGATAAATTTCCATCCGTTACTTGCCTTCAGGTGCTTTGGAAAATAACTTGACCCCCTCTTCTTTGTGGTAGTCCCTGAAGTATTGGAAGACTGCTATTCTGCCCCCCCCCCCAGTCCTTCTCTTCATTAAACTAGACATACCCAATTCCTGCAACCATTCTTCATATAATTTAGCCCCCAGCCCCTTATTCCTCTTGTTTGCTCTTCTCTGCACTCTTTCCAGAGTCTCAACATCTTTTTACACCGCAGTGACCAAAACTGTGGCCTTACCAAGGTATTATAAAGTGGGTATTAACACTTCACGTGATCTTGATTCTATGTTAATGCAGCTTAGAACCGTGTTGGCATTTCTGGCAGTGCAGCACACGGCTGGCTCCTATTTATTGTCCAAATATCTTCAAGAAAAAACAAACCCCAGTTGCCTTTTGAAAAAGCACATCTGGAGTTACATGATAGCACGGGCACAAAACTTTGGATACAGTATTGAATTAGATGAATGGGAGAAACTACGAACTAGAAATTATAAATTAACGAACTCCACGGCTTAACAAAGAAAACTTGTGTAAAATGTTCTATCGTTGGCACTTGGCCTCAGCGAGATTGGCTAAGATGTACTCCCAAATGTTGAAATTGTGGACAAAAGGATGGTAACTTCTATCACATGTGGTGGCTATGCCCCAAGACCAGGAAATATTGGGTTAAAATAAAAAAAACTGGCTACAAGAGATTATCAAACACCAAACTGAACTCAAACCGGAATTCTTTTTACTAGGAATAATTATAGTAAAAAGATTAAGAACATATATTACATGTTTTGATGGCAGCCAGAATAGCTTTTGCATAATTATGGAAAGGAGCCAATATCCCCTCAGAAGACTTGATCATACAAAAGGTACTGGAATGTGCCGAAATGGATAAGCTCACATTGGAAATGAAAGGCAAGGAGGATTCTGAATATTATGCAATATGGGATAAATGGTGGTTAAGTGGTTAAAAAACAGATACAAAGATTAGGAAGAAGGATTATGGTAAATAAAGCAGGAGACTTTAGTAGATTGTTAATATGATTATAAATAAATGTATATAGGATGTATGTATTTGTCGATGCCAAGACATTGTTAAGATTATGATTTGAGATTTGTATTTTTGAAAACTAATAAAAACAATTAAAAAGAAAAAGCACCTTTGGGAAAACCCTGATGGAGCAAACTTTGGCTTGGTGTGATGTACAGACTGAGCAACTGATGGGTTACTTTGTGCCATGTTTTCGCCTTCCCTAGGAGCCTCCTTCAGTCCGTAGAAGAAGCCCTGGAAGAGAGGTAAGAGGAGATGGGAGATTAATCTAGAAACTCTGGGACACTAGCCGAGTTTTCCCCAGACAGGCCAACATTAAACCTGGTGTGTTGTTTTCTATCCCCAATAAAACTTTTAAATGGTGGTCTTGCCCAGTGCAGTATAATTTGGAAGGGTCCTTTTGGGATCATCTTGATGGTAGCCTCAATGTGGCTCCCACCCAAACCAGATAATTTTCGATTTATGGCCACAATGGGGAACAGAATTTCTGTTGCTAATCAAGGCAGTTAAGGGAGCTGTGCCTGATTTTATGAGCATGTTGCTCATGTTTGTTAGCCGAATCCCTGCAGCTGTTGAGTGAATCGTTTGGTCGTTGAGTGAACCTGGCCTTCCCCATTAACAGAAAAGAGTGGGAAGGGATCTTGGAGGTCTTCTAGTCCAACCCCCTGTCCAAGCAAGAGACCCTATATCATTCCAGACAAGTGGCTGTTCAGTCTCTTCTTAAAAGCTTCCATTGTTGGAATATCCACAACTTCTGGGGGCAGGCTGTTCCACTGGCTAATTGCAAAACTCACTTAACAGCTTAACTGTTGGGCTCAATTGTGTTCGTAAGGTGAGGAATAACTGTGTTTTCTTGGTAAAAATCATGTCCCAGGAGGATTATTATTTTTTGCTGCATATTCCAATGGGAGGGTTGACATCTTTGGATTTTTCCTCATTCTTTTATTCTGTTTCTTTTCTTTTTTTAAATTGCTTTTTCTTCTTTAGGAGTCTAACCATCCGCCCAGCACGTCCTACAGAGCAGGTATGCATGAAACGGTCACTTCCTTTGGGTTCTGCAAATTATTGTGAGAATTCTATCCTTCTATAATAATTCTATAATTCTATAAAATAATTCTGCAAACTATAGTGAAGTACTAGTACCACTCTATAAAGCCTTAGTAAGACCACAGTAAGAGTACTGCATCCAATTTTGGACACCACACTATAAAAAAGAGACTCTAGAAAGAGTGCAGAGAAGAACAACCAGGATGATTAGGGGACTGGAGGATAAAACATATGACGAACGGTTGCAGGAACTGGGCTTGGCTAGTCTAGGGAAGAGAAGGACCAGGGGAGACAGGAGAGCAGTCTTCCAGTATTGGAGGGGCTGCCACAGAGAGGAGGAAGGGGGTCAAGCTATTCTCCAAAACACCTGAAGGCCAAACAAGGAACAATGGATGGAAACTGAACAAGGAGAGATTCAACCTGGAAATAAGAAATTTTCTGACAGTGAGAACAATCAACCCATGGAACAGAAGTTGCCCTCTGAAGTTGTGGGAGCTTCATCCCTGGAGGCTTCCAAGAAGAGGCTGGAGTGCCATTGGTCAGAAATTGGTGTAGGGTCTCCTGCTTGGGCGGGGCAGGGGGGTGTTGGACTAGATGCCCTCCAAGGTCCCTTCTGTTAATCTGTTACCTATCTGTATCTATTCTGGTGTTTTTTCCCCCCACTGCAGACTCAGGAAGAGCAGCAGACGGGCGGACTTGGGGAAGATGTTTCCAGCACGATCAAAAGGGGGCCCTTTTGGGATTTTCTTAACCTGGAGCTCGCATACAAGGCTCCTTGGGAGCAGGACGGGGAGCGCTCGGATCTGGAGGGGCCCAGGGACCACACCGTCCCAGGTAAAGAGGTGTCTTTCACTTTGTATTTTGAGACCAAGTCACTCTCAAAGAACAGAATAATAACAACAGAGGTGGGAGGGACCCTGTAGGTCATCTAGTCCAAAGCTGTTCCACTGGTTAATTGTCCCCGCCGTGTCAAGAAATTCCTCCTCAGTTCTAGGTTGCTTCTCTCCTTGATTAGTTTCTACCCGTTGCTTCTTCTCCTGCCTTCTGGTGCTTTGGAGAATAGCTTGACCCCTTCCTCTTCTTTGGGGCAGCCCCTGAGATACTGGAATGCTGCTATCATGTCTCCCCTAGTCCTTCTTTTCATTAGACTAGACATACCCAATTCCAGCAACCGTTCTTCATATGTTTTAGCCTCCAGTCCTCTATTCATCCTTGTTGCTCTTCTCTGCACTCTTTCTAGAGTCTCAACCACTTTTTTTTACATCGTGGTGACCAAAACTGAATGCAGTATTCCAAGTGTGGTCTTACCAAGGCTTTATAAAGTGGTACTAACACTTCGTGTGATCTTGATTCTATCCCTCTGTTTATGCAACCTAGAACTGTATTGGCTTTTTGGCAGCTGCTGCAACACTGCTGGATCATATTTAAATAGTTGTCCACTGTAAAAGGAGTGGACTTCAACTCCCAAGATTCCCCAGCCAATTTCCCCAGAATTCCTCTGGGAGTGGAAGTCCACAACTCTTAAAGTTGCCAAATTTGGACACACCCCAATATCGAACTGAAGGATTGGGGGGGGGGGTGACATGGTAGGGGTCTCTCTAGACTTGAGGGGCTGTCACAGAGAAAAGGGGATTGGCTTATTCTCCAAAGCACCAGAGCGCAGGACCAGAAATAATGGGTGGAAGAAGCTTGTGGAAGAGAAATCCAAACTGCTTTCCTGCCAGTGATTTTGATATTTCTCTTTCGACAACAGGCAACACGGCCTTCGGTGAGACATCAGATGCTCCTGTGATGGATTCTCCAAAACCTGCAGACTGCCTCCTTTCCACTGAATGGGCCACCATGAAGAAGAAGGAGGAAGCCACCGTAAGCATGCTAAATCAAGATTGTTCAAACTCTGTTTGGTGGTTGGAGAAATTGGGTATGGCTAGTCTAATGAAAAGAAGGACCAAGGGTGACATGATACCAGTGTTCCAATATTTGAGGGGCTGCCACGAAGAAAGAGGGGGTCAACTTATTTTCCAAAGCCCCTGAAGGCAGGACAAGAAACGATGGATGGAAGCTAATCAAGGAGAGAAGCAACGTAGAACAAAGGAGTAATTTCCTAATAGAACAATTAACTTGTGGAACAGCTTGCCACCAGAAGTTGTGGTTGCTCCATCACTGGAGGTTTTTAAAAAGAGATTGGACAATCTTTTGTCTGAAATGGTACAGGGTCTCCTGCTGGAGCAGGATTGGACTAGAAGACCTCTAAGATCCCTTCCAACTCTTACTATTCTGTATTCTATTCCTCCGGAATGGATGAAATTTTGTTTTATTTATTTGTCCAATTTTTAGTACTGTACATCACACCCTGGGTGGTATCCAATGAAAGCACAAAGTGATATAAAAGTTATAGATAAGACCAAGTTAAAAACCAGAGTAAAACCAAGTTAAAAGGAGCAATCATGAGAGACTCGGGGTTGGAATAGATTTTACGAGTGGTTACAAACAAAAGGGTAGAAGTTAGAGGAAGAAAAATGGTGAACGATCTTATCAGAAACAGAGATGGTATATAACTATAATTGTTATAAGTACTAAAAATAAAAATGAACTAAACACAAAGAATGGGAATTGTACTGTATGGGAACTATCATAGTATTATTAGAATTGTTAACTTATGTGTTATATTAGTATTATTATTAGTAAATGGGACAATATTTTTTGACAGTATTATCGAGAGAGAGGGAGAGGGAAAGAGAGAGAAAGACTCGAGCAGGGGGGAATATTCATACAGATACAGCCAGATACAGATTCTATCCCAAGACAGAGCAGGACTATCTAATCTTGGTAACTGTAAGACTCATGGACTTCAACAAGGCTGGCTGGGGTATTTTTGGTTGCAAAAGGGGATCAAATGGCCCCAGGGCACTGCAACAGTCAAAAATATGAGCTGGTTACCAAGTGGCTGACTTTTGTGACCAAGGGAATGTACAACAGTCGTAAGTATGAAAAATGGTCGTTAATTCTGCGATTGAACAAGGAATGGAGTTAGAAACAGTGCCTTCGTTTCTTTTATTTAAAAAAGGAAAACATTGGGAACTTTTAAAAAATGTTTCTTTAATGCTCCCCCCTCATCTCTCCATCACCTTTCCAGAGGTTGCTGTGCCACGGATTGCCCCCTACACCCAAAGTTCATGTAAGTTGCATTTCCTTCTTCCCTACCCAACCCCACAAAACCTGGAATTTAACATTTTAATGCAAATCCCAAAGGTGCTTTTTCCAAAAGGCAAGTGGACTTCCTGTTTTATCTTTGAAGACGTTTCGCTTCTCATCCCAGAAGCTTCTTCAGCTCTGACTGGATGGTGGGGAACGGAAGGATTTATGCTCCTTGCAGGCAGCTGGTCATTTGCATCCTTTTAGAGGGTCGTTGAGGCCACTTGGAGGTTTATCTATGTTCTCAGGGTCACTTGAGTGGTGTAAATGGGTGTGGAAAGACCCATTTATCTGAAGACACAGCTAAACCTCCAAGTGGCCTCAATGACTCTAAAAGAACGCAAATGACCAGCTGTCTGCAAAGGAGTGTAAATCCTTCCGTTCCCCACCATCCAGTCAGAGCTGAAGAAGCTTCTTGAATGAGAAGCGAAACATCTTCAAAGAAAAAGAAAGTCCAGTTGGGAAAAAAAAAGCACCTTTGGGATAACCAGGGCCTGGAAGGCTGAGGTTCTCCATAGACATTTTAATGCAAGCCAATTTTGTTGGTACTTTCCAAACAAATTCCTGAATCACGGAACCACAATCCGCCAGCTTTTTCACCCATTTAATTTTTGCAAGGAAAAGGCAGATAGCAGCTGGACTATGTTATTTAAGGCCAGTGGTATGTATTTCAGGGGCTTTTGAGTGTGTGTGGTACATGATGAACATCGTACAATGGGAAAGAAAGCTCAAATGAACTTCTGCCTGGAGGCAACGCAAGCGGGTGGCTTTGCAAAATTTTGTGGCGGGGCAAAGTGTGAAAATGTGGTAGTTTTGCTCACTTAGAGGGGTGTGAAAAGTCTCAAATCTGCCTATGACTAAAACGGGGGTGGGAAACTATTTTACGATCTGTGGACTTCAAATCCCATAATTCATCAGCCAGCATGGCTGGGAGTTGAAGTCCATAAGTCATAAAAAAAAACAGTTCCCCACCGCCTGGACTAAACGAAAGATTTGATCCGAAATATAAAAGGGAGATTAAAAAGCACTGCAGGACAGTTGACAACGGAGGAATAAATCCAAGTCATTTCCTGCTTAAAACAAACACACCCCAATATCCAAATACTCCATTTCCTCCTTTCTCAGATGGGAGCTTGTTTTTCCAAAGTTTTCAATGGCTGCCCACTGAAGATTAACTCCGCTACAACGTGGATCCACCCAGAAACACGAGGTAGGGATTTATTTCTGGTTGATTTCTGCACTTTGTATTCCATCAGAAGGCGGTATACATAGCAGCGTTTCCCAACCTGTCAGGATTCCGTCAGTTACTCCCAATTAAATCATGAGCCTTGAGCCACATTTCCAAAACTTAAAGAAGATTTATTGGGAGTTAACATGTCCGGCACTGCCTGGGTGCAGCTGACTCTGAGGCACATCATTCATTGTCACCCTTGACCCTGGTTTTCCCGCCATCCCCTGGGTGTATCGTAATTGATATTCTTCAATGAGACACATCCATAGCCCAGAGTCATCAATCATGCTCTCCAGTTAGATTTTTGCTGCAGCAGAAACTTCAGTCACTTAGTTACTATCTTTGAAAAACTATGTATGGAATGCACTTTCGATTTCCAAGCTGCCATACTGTTCTTTCAAAACCCCTTCCCCCCCCTGCCTTTCTGTTGGCAACTCTAAAAAGACCATATAAATATTTTATGAGTTGAAATTAAGAGCAGTGGACTTCAACTCCCAGAAATTCCCAGCCAGAATATTTTTAAATGGGTGGACATCAATTCCCAGAATTCCCCAGTCGGAATATTTTAAAATGGGTGGATTTTAATTCCCAGAATATTTTAAAACAGATGGACTTCAATTCCCAGAATTCCCCAGCTGGAATATTTTAGAATGGGTGGACTTCAATTCCCAAAATCCCCCAGACAGCATTCTTTATGAGGTAGGGACTTCAGTTCCCAGAAATCCCCTGCAGCATGCTGGCTAGGGAATTCTGGGAATTGTAGTCCACATGTCTTAAAAGTTGCCAAGGTTGAGAAACACCGGTACAATTTTTCCCCCCGCAACGCCAACCCTGCAAGGTAGGTTGGACCAGGTAGGAATTTATGGTCAAGAGAAAACTAGAACTAGGATCTCTCCATTCCTAATCCACCATGTTCTCTTTCAACGTTGCCAACTATGGCTTATAAACTTCCTGTTCCGGTTTGCAGATCTATATCTGGTCGTGGGAGCAGAGGAAGGTATATACACCTTGAATCTTCATGAGCTCCACGAAGACACAATGGAGAAGGTGAGTCATGAGGAAAGAATCGGAGGAGGGGGTCCTTTGCTTGTTTGACCACTACAAGCCATGATTAAGCCACCCTGTAGCAGGCCAGTCCCTCTGCTCTCTGCTTAAGCTGCAATGAATGGGCTTGGATTCCCGACTCTGTAATTTAGCAAGTTGCTTGAAGTATTTTTAAATTATTTAGTTATTTAGATCCCACCTTCATTATTTTTATCAGCCATTCAAGGTGTCGAGTATACTTAATATTCCTTTTTTTATCCCTATAACAACAACCCTGTGAGGTGGGTTGGACTGGGAGAGAGAGAGAGGCCAAAAGTCATCCAACTGCTTTCATGCTTAAGGTGGAACTAGAACTCACCATCTCCTGGTGATTGGGCCAAAGTCACCCAGCCATCTTTCATGCCTAAGGCAGGACTAGAACTCACATTCTCCTGGTGATTGGTCCACAGTCACCCAGCCATCTATAGTGCCTAAG